CTATAGAGTGATATCACAGCCTGTCCAAATACAGCGGAGGAGTTATTTAAAATCAACAGCCATTTTACAGCCTGTGGTGTCTCACGGGTCTTTCTCGACACTGGTGCGATGACTGACATATTCTTGTAGTGGTTTGGAGTTGGCTACAGCTTCGTCCTGATCACTTCCCTCTAGACACCACAAACAGCCCCTCCTGTCTGCCTCTGAAAGGTTGATGATGATGATGACGATGATGAGGATGAAGACCCACAGAACAGCCAAACACCTCCAGATTTGACTCCGGCCCAGAACAAATGCCCTTGTTTTCTTTCCCTGGAATGGGATACAACCAGGCTTTGGAGGAGCTTAGTGTGGTTCCGTCAGTGAACGTACACAAATCCAGAGGAAGAAGAAGATCATTATCCGAAAGTACAGTAAGTCAGAAAGAACTAGATCTCTCCCGCAGCGCTGCAACAGTTAGGTGTTATCAAGAAAAGACTAAGATAAAGTTCTTCAATGAATTCTGACAACAAGCTGTCACTATCTTAAACTATTGCACGACAGTGGAAAATAACAGGCATTTTTTAGTATGTTTTCCAGTGTTCAAAACTATGATGAAAAATATTTGTTGACAATCTTTTATATAACACGACCTGAGTAACCTTTAAAGATGGAAACTATGAACATATGTGTTTCATCATCACCAAAAGCTTCAACGATAATGTAAAAGACAGATAAATGGAAAATTTATTAAAGTTTTCATCAGCTTTGAAGAAAATACTGTATTGTAAATTTGTTAGCAGAAAGCTTCCTCATTACAAACCCAGCCGATATGAAACAACATTCACTTAGAGCTGTGTCTCAGTTAAGTCAAATACTCTCTTTTAGTTCTGTTTTTGGCCTCCACCAACCAACTCCTGACTGGAATACCTCTGTTTAGCCACTAAACGTTTCACTTCGTTAAACAGCTAATCGTCTTTCTGTCACTTTGTGCTGGGCAGGGAGCGTACAGCGGGGTTTCCCAGTTAGCAAAATGAAACTTCTGGCCCAACTTTGGGCCGAGTCTGGCCATATATTTCCACATCTGGGCAGAGTCCTGCTGTTATCCTCAGGTATCGACTACCAGCCGGAAGATGTTTGGAGCCAGAATTGGTCCAGCTGTGGTCGTGGCATCTTACAATTATGCTGTATATGGGCTAGATTTGGAGCATGGAACTGGGCGTATACTGGGCCAGAAAAAAACAAGCATGTGGCCCAAGCACGGGCCGGATTTATTTTGCTATCTCAGCTCCTGTGGCCAACAATGAGACCATAAGAGTGGTGAAAGTGACCCTAAACAGTGAAGTTTTGACTGCAACACAGGATAGCACTCTTAGAAAGGTCTTGGTCTGCAACATTTACACAACTGTGGGAAAGAAAAAACCACACACTGAGCTCCACTCAGCAGGTAGGAATAAATAGTCAGAATAATATGCAAATACAGTGTGACCCAGGTCTGGTTACGACACAACAGCTCAGCAAGAGAGGAAGCAGCAGCAGTTGTAGTACAAACTTTATAAGTTTTCAGTTATGTAAGTTCACAGTGTGCAGCTCTTAGCATGCAGTTTCCAGCAGCGAGGAGACTGTGAGGCTCAGTCACAATCAGCTGTGACTGTGCGACAAGCACCTCCCCACCCAAACAATCAGTTTGCAGCAGTCACATCATCTAAATCAGCCTCAGTCTCAGCTCTCAAGTGACGTTTTACCAAATACTTCCCATCCCCACTTTCCCAGCATCCTCTCTGTCACTCCCTCTACTCCTCCAGTGGCTCTTTCACTGCCTCTCCATGTCTATCTCCCATCTTCACTCTATCCCCTTGTCTCCTCCACAATCTGTCTGTCCTCTCCCCCGGACGAGCAGAGCGTCCTCCTGTTAGAGCACCGCCTGAGACAGGTGTCAGCTACAATCTCAGCTGCTACCCTCTGCAGAGAGACGGTGCCTCTGCTGCTCGGCAGCGTTGAAACGATTACACCAGATAGGTCCCAAGGTCAACAGAGCTGTCAGACCGTGATCCAAACCCCTCAACTCCTCAACCCTCCCCCCACGGACGATAAGGAAAACAGGCAGAGGTGTTTATCGCGGCCATTGTGCTGCACACAGTTCATTTTCATCTCTTCTTTATGCTTCTGTTCTGTCATTTGCCTCTTAAGTTGCTTTTATTGGGATTTGCAAGGTGCTGCTTTAATGTAGGGTTTCCTCCTCAGTTACTTTCATAGATACAATAATAAAAAGGCAAAAAGGAAATCGACAAAATCCAATCTGTGTCTTTAATTAGAGGTGGCATTTGGATCTGGGTTAGTATTCTTGGACGTGACACACTGTGCTTGAGTTGTCTCGGTGGAAATGGCTCTACAAGGAGCTACACAAAAGGTAAGATCAGGAGAAAATGAAGAGAGCACGCAGGGAGACATTTGGGAGATTTGTTGGGCAGTCTGCAGGGGGGAGATCGGTATGTGCATACTTCCCTTGATATATCTGTTTATTTGCACAGCACATCTAAACAAAAGAGCGAGCAGGGAGGCCACTTCAGCCTGACAAAGGTCACATTTCCTAACGCAGGAAAACTGCTTCCTGGCCAGCGAGAACTCGGCTGTAGGATTTAGTTCACCAAGGAATAGGACTGACCGAGGAATAGGCTTATTTATACTGGTCTCCTCATAACACAGCAAACACACTACCTCAGATGGTGTGTCATTCCCTGTGAGAATCCAGGTAGTTTGACACTTACATTATGTTTTTTTTGTTTTTTGTTTTTTTTACGGAAAACATCGAGTCCTAATTTGATTTATCTATGTAGACCCCTTTAAATATCAAACTTCATTAATACCTGCCAGCTACAAAATAAGTCCTCCTTTGACGCACGTTGAAAACAAAACAGAGCCTTTAACCATTCTCCACTTAAAGGAACAAAAGCACCCCTGCCTACACGGGAGCAAACACCACTCCAAATAAATTGCAGTAAGCAAAGTGCTACCATTAATCAACAGCAGCGTAGTTCAGAACGAGTGGATGGCTGTAACTTGTCAAGGGCCTTTACATTTAGTATTTGCTTTTACACTCTAAAAGCAGACCTCAAGTTTCCAAGAATAAAACCATCTATTAATCTAGTAGTCAATCTGAGCACCTGCGGGGGGGTGGGGGGGCGAGAGAGAGAGAGAGAGAGAGAGGGAACGTGTGGGGAAAGTTATCAACCCCTTGAGTGTTTGAAGTGCTATTTCATCTACGAGAGAGGCACAGATGAATACTAAAGAAGGCTTCTCAAAGTCCCCGTCCAAGTGCAAAATTTATGTTTGAATAACTTTGAATATAATGCAAATAAGATCCCTAAAGAGCGCGGTGAAAGGCAAAAGATTTAGGCAGATGTGGCAAGTGTAACAACGCGAGACAGGTGAGGCTGGAATGTGGCTTTACACTGGGACAGCAGGTGTGAAAAGTGGGGTGAAGGGTCCAAGAGCACAATGAGGAACAGTTTTCTTTGCCATTATTTCAATCAGTGATTCAGTTAGTAACAATTTACGAGGACTAGCTGCCGCTGCCAATCATCTTACAGTATGAACAGTCTGGCTGCAAATAATGATTTTTTTTTTTCACTACAGAAGATAAATGTCATATTCATCACTAGAAACAAAGAGAACTACACACTATGATGTTTCCTACTGAGGATGTCTCAGTAGGAGACTCACATTTCTTCTCAAATGTAAAACTACAGTTTATGAGGGCAGGTCAGGACCGGGTGACTCCTGATAACTTTTTAGGAGATGCCTTTTTAGATTAGTGTGTGATCGTTTCTGATGCTGTTGTGTGACTGGCTGTGTTTTGTCATGTGTCTTATCTTGATCTCAATGAGAGTACCTGGGTAGATAAAGATTATAATAATAATAATAATTTTCATTATCAAAAAAATCTGTAGATTATTTGATTGATCAATCATTTCGTCTGTAAAATGAGAAAAAATGTCAAAAAGTCAGTTTATCCAGAGAACAGGCTCTAACTCAAAGATATTACATTTAAATTTATACGCAAAAAGCAGTAAATCCTCACATTCATGAGGCTGGAACAAGAAATGATTTGGCGTTTTTGCTTTGACCTAAATACTGAATTTATTACTAAAGTTATTGCTGATTAATTTCATGATGAATCGATTAATATATCAGTGGTTAATCATCAACTAGGGGACTAAATCATAATCAAACCACATAATCTATATTGTATAATGAGGATCTATTTAGTGGAGCTTTATTTTGAAAAGGCTGTAGAGCACATGCATGTTAACAACTTCTTGTTACCCCATGACAGTAGCATTAAAAGTGACAGCTGGGTTTATTCAAGGCCTTGCCACTGATTGATACTTGCAAAACATTATTATTTATCTATCATATATTAGTATTATTTATTCTGTGACTTCTTGATAATGAGTTTGAAGTTGAAGTCATCTTGTGTGAATTGTTTCTTTTTCTCTCTGCTGGGTCACAGTATATACTGTATATCACTATAGAAAAGTGCATCTGGGCTGAGTTTAGTGAGTTTATTGTGATATTTTAACCTTGACAGTATCAATATAAGAAGATGTTTCTAAGATTTATTTAATTTTTGAAGTGTGGTATGCTTCTAAAACTCATTTCATCCTGCAGTACAGACTTACTGATGGACTGTGTCAGAGCTGTTTAACCTTGTGGAATCAATTTATAGCACTTTATGCTCCTGCCCTATAATTCAGGTCCCCTACCTGCGGTTTAAGGATCTCCAGGGGCCCTTTAGAGACCTCTCTTCAGGGCCCACCAGAAAAATTCCATCCACCAGAAAGTAACCTATCTCGGTTTGAGAATAAAATGATTTATGGACTTCCATTATTAAATCCTCTTCAGTCCGGTTCTGAGTGAAAATCTCAAATTATCCTGAAGTTGTCCACCCCACCCCCCCACCCCCCACCCCCACTTTGTGTGTCTTTACGATGTTGTCAGTGTTATTGAGACCTACTTACAGGGAGACCGTTCTGTTGGGTACGAAGCTGGGCTGCAGCGTGTCCATCAAGTCCACATCATCACACACCACTTTGACTCGGACGTGCTGCCTGCTCAGCTCCTTAGACCTCTCAGCCGAGCAGTGACAGCTGTCAACGATCAGGTCGGGACAGTTTCTGTTGCTGAGGCTGGACCCCCACAGCCCGACGACCACGCACAGTAAACTCAGCGCCCTCATGGTGGACTGAGACTCTCTTAACAAAAAAACAAAACAAAACAAAAAAAAAACACACACACACACACACACACGCTCCTCTCAAGTTATGTCCTCCCAGCTTCTGGGACAAGTCGGGACCATTTCACATCGCCTTCCGTTACATTACAGTACAGCCTGTGCTCGAGCTGCAGTCCGGATCTCATGCCCCGCTGCTCACCTGCTGCGCCCCCAGGAGCTGCAAACTTTCGGCGCTACTTCTGCGACTGAAACCGGGAGTTAAGTTCAACCTCATGGGTGCGAATCGCTGCATCTTTGCCATTCTCTGCTAGTAAGAAGTCCACCTCACCACACTGTGTACTGTGCTGTGAAGTGCGTAGGGTAAAACTTCCAGCGGCGCGCTTCCAAAGTCCGAATAAATGTTACTGCGACACGTCCTTCTCCGAGGAGCAGCGTGAATCAAACGAGTGCTCGTGGTGAAAAGTTGTCCCTGAGGATCCACTTTAAAATCCCGCTCCTGTCCGAGCTTCTGCACGCCGTGTTGTCATTCAATCTCATCATGCACTTCTTACGACCTTGGACTTGTTGCGCATGTTTGTGTCCAGAAAGTCCCTCCCCGCTGAGTCCTGACAGGCTCCAGCGTGGGCTCCTAAACTCATCATAGCCCAAACTGAGAGGACCACAGACATCCATCTGTTAACATCTAATAGACTATCAATAAATCACAACTGAGTCCAAATTTCCTTGTATTCCTTTCAACTGTTCATCTCCTGTGATCGCTGGCTGGAATAACAATGAAATTTAAACTGTTTCTCCCTCTGTGCCACCTCCAAGGGTCCCTGGAGGTCCCCGGGCCCCCGCTCTGGGATGTGCAGCTGTGCATGGCATGTGTGTTAGGCATGATTTCTCAAACACAAACGTTTCCACCACCTGATGAAAAGTGTTGCTGTTTGTTTTATTCTCTTGATTTACTTTGGAACAGCTTCAGACGACCTGTTTGTATCCACTTTCTGCGACCTGTACACAAACTGAAAATGATCTAAATCGTGAATCACTTCTGAATCAGTAGAATAAAAATTAAAAAAAAACTGTCGAAGTTTAACTTATCCTACCCTGTCATTTCTTTCTCCTATAATAATATAATATTCATAAGGATATTGCATTTTTCTGGTATAAATTAATAATCAAATTGACATTGTTCTTGTTTCCTTGAAAATATATGTTTTGTATATCACATGGCATGTGTGTTGTTAATGTGCCAAGATCCATATTGCTCTGGTTTCATTGCAGCTGCATGAGAAGCTGCTGCAGGCACTTGTAAACCTGACATTCATTTAAATGATGGCAATAAATAAAGAATATGAGCTGGAAAGTGACCAGGTTGACACAGTAACACAGTGTTGGACTCGTGGAAGTGATTAATGACTCGCTTCTTTATGGCTGAACTTAAAATATTTCAAAAATGGTCAAAAAAAAGAAAGAGAAAAAAGTGTGTTTTAGCTGTTTTAAAAAAAAAAACAGCTAGTGCCTGAGGAAGTGGTTTTGATTTGAAAATAAAAACATGCTGATTGAGGTGTAAAAATGCTGTGAAAATACATGTTCAGCTCTCATGAACACTATTCTGTGACAATAAAAGCCACTCCAGTCAGCCATGTGATGCCTCTTGACACACATACGGACAATGTGGCCTGTGATCCGTCTCATAATCCCTGAATTTACACTTATTCTTATCAGAGGACTGAGAGTTTGAACAGGCCACACAGTGTATCCAGTGACATCAATCATGTCTCTTGATGGTGGATCATCTGTGCAGAGGGTTTGGCCCCCGGGGAGACAGAAGCTGAGACATCTGGCTGGATGGGCTCCCTGGGGCCGGGGCAAGTTGTTTCCCCTGTGTGTATGTGTGCACTGCGCCCCACGCCAAAATTCCTCCCTCATTATCCACATTGTCTCCGACGCAGGCCCGACAGCACAAAGGAGGATTTGAAGCCGCTCCCACTGACCCTGCATTCAGCTCGTGTTCCCTATTCTTCTGTCTGACAGGCAAACATGGACTCCATTCTCCCTGCTCTGTGTTTATCCACATACATCTCTATATTGTGCTCCCATGACGCCCCTTTGGACTGTCACTCATGGTTGTTTACACAGATGTACAGTGTATTTACCCCGTGCCTGTAAGTGCACAGGGGGATCTTCCCGCCTGCTGACCCCTGGTGAGCCAATAGGAAAGTCACCTGGCGCAGCCGACATCACCATCTGAAGTGATCCATCTTTAATGGAGTCTGGAGAAACATTTCCTTGGATGGGAGCCATGGCTGTTCACTGAGCTACTTGTGTGCTCCTAATGGAAAACAGAACCCACGAACACGAGCCCGTTGCGTAAAGGTTTCCTCTCTGGCAGCAGTTGTATTTCACACCAACAACCCCTTTTGAATGGGATCACTAATCAGCACAAACAACATTATTTGTACTGTGAAACAGTTTACAGTTAGATATTAACTCAAGATAAAGACTCATCTGTGCACAGTGGAGGGATGGAGTCAATTGTACTGAGGCAATGCAAACAGTCTTTCTCTGCGAAGCATGTTCTCATGTTTTCCCTCTCTCACATTAGTGTTCACAGCTCTCCATTATGACTCGCTGACAGAGATGAATAGGCCAAGGCCGGCAGCGATCACAGTCCTCACTAAATATTTACCTGCTCCACTTGAGAAGGCCAGGATGACAGACTCTCATTATTACTCCATGAGTTTTGGGATAATACTCATGGCATTTTGTTTTCACAGAGTTCCCACTGTGATGCTTATACAGGTGCAAAAAAAAAGTGAAAGCTTTTGGCTTTTAGCAAGTCTGACGGGTGGTTTTTGGTTTCATGGTGCTGTCATTAATAATAATGTTATATGGACAGTGTGAAATTAAAGTTAAATTATCCCATAACACTCCTTCAGTGTTTAAAGCTGAAGAAAGTCTGAGGCTGACATGTTGCTACAAAAAGCCTGTATGGATTTAAAGCGGAGGCTCTGTGTGGGCATGTAAAATGTCCCATTTTCTGTCTGTCATCATCAACTTGCCTGTTTGCACGTAAGATAACATTAGTAATTTTAGTTTTAGTGAGTTGAAATGTGTCATTACAGATGATTCAAAATCACCTAAAAAGGATGCGTGATGTGTGAACCTTTTGCCAAAAAACCTTTTAGTCACAAAGTACAGTAGATCATTTGTTTTTCATTTTATTTGTTTATTTACCTGCTGAAATATATTTTCTGTAAATGTTGACTTCTAAATGTTTTAAAGCCTTCTCCGAATATAATGACATTTTTATATTATATATAATAGTCATATTGCATAATTTAGAGGGAAGAAAACTAACTACTAAATTCTTTCATTTTATATCTAAGAATCTGAACTCCTAATTAACACTAATGTAACCTTGCTCCGTGTCTCAGCTGATGTGTAAAGAGGAGGCTGTTTGTCACCACATTCACAATATCATCTTTTAATGTCAGTTTTGTTTTTACAGCTGCCCCCCAGAGGGCAAAAAATCAACTACTCCAGGTTGAAAGATCTTTAAAAAGTATCAAATTCAGCCTTCAAAACCTACCATGTGTAATTTATGTGAAATTGTAGAATCTTAAAGGAGCTATTTGTAAGTCTTGCTATTGCTACATAGCTAAAGTTGGCATTAACAGCTGTTTCAAAAAAATCTAAATTTTATATAAAAATTTTCTTCAAATAAATTAAATTAAAAAATTTTTCTCTGCTTTACCTCTTTAGTCTTGTCTTGCTGCTTGTTACATATGTAAATCCATTAATTTAAATGAGTTAGTGTAGTTTACTGTCCATTCTTATCAACTTGAACTGAGAGAAGTGAGGCAGGTTCATGCCCAAATCATGACCCGTTGAGATATTTAATATATAACATACACACAATCCTTCTTTTCCGTTGTATTAAACATGTGCTTGTGGAAGTTTGATGAAAATGCGAGCGGGCACGGGGCACCTGTGATGTCGTGTTGTGACACTGTCAACACCAACAGCAGCCGATGGCTATTATCCAGAAAGCCCAGAGGATCTTTGTGAAGAATAGTCAAGTCAAATCAAGTCAGATTTATTTAGAACGTGCTTTTTTTTTTTTTTTTTTTTAAAAAAAGGCCTTCATCCCTTTCTGTAGAGAACAAAACTGCAGTCTCTTTGAGTGGTTAGCATCTGAGCCAGTGCTGCCACAGTCAAAAATGTGATAATGCTAATTCCAACCAAAGACCAACAAGTGAGACGACAACACAGTATGAAAATCTAATTACATGTTACACACTCAACAATCTTTCCTGGGACCTGGGATGAATTTACCATCAATAAACTAAGCCTCACTATAATAAGGTGCCAAGAGGATTTGGGAAACCAGTGCTACTTTTAAACTGGAGAATGGAGGACGGTGTGGTGTGAGCTGGCGTGTTCATCGCCATGCAGGGTGGACCCACTGACCACCAACCACCAGAGCACTGCACAAGGACTTTAGTAAAGGTTTGGAGCATGCATAATGATCTAAACAGAGACTACTGGAATTAATCTTCTGAGGCCCCTTCATGAGCGTGTGGATTTGTTATTGCCTCCACAGCCTGCTTCCTCCGCTTTCCCTCGGCTGAGAGTAGAAGCACCGCATCACAAACCAGATGCCAACAGTGAGTCTGAGCCCCAGTCGTTTTCACCTCATTTGCAAACGGGGCACATGACAGCTTTCTCAACAATATTGTTTTCAAGGGAGGCTGCGGACAATAAGTGAAGTATATTCATTTGTAATCACTGTTTCCCCTCAAGTCTCATAAACGCACCGCACATACGCTCCTCTCTTGTTTTCACATCTCAATACGCTCATCGCGGAATTTCATCAGCGCACTCGTTTGTCATCATTAGCGTTGATGGAGGTTGCTCTGCTCCTGTCTGCTGATCCCCAACAATAAGTTTGACACGTATAAAAGCTGTTTGGGCTTCGGAGTGCTCTGTACACCGTTTACTGTGGCTTTTATTTTGTTGTTTTGACAGGCAGTATTGGTGGAGAGACAGGGGATGCGTCGCTCAGGCTCTGTCTGTGGTGCAGCACTGAACTCGGCCTTATAAGTATTCTAGTCTCCATTCATAATCCGGCCTGCGTGAGCGGAGACCCAATGAGGAGCTGAAGTGAAATGGGAACATTTTCTGGCAGAGGAGAAGAAGGGGAAGGGCAGTGACAGAAAAAAAAAAAAAAGAAGAAAAAAATCCTGTTTCAACAAGTTATTTTATCATGTTTCCAGTCTTAAAGGGAGATCTTTTATAAAACAAAACAACTTTCACTTCACCTTTGACCTCATCTCAGCTCTCTTTTATAACAATGAACAATATTTCCAAACATATCATGCTGATTTTTTAGGTGCAAAAGATATGTCTTCTTGTGGCTTTTTCACTTGTTGAAGATTTTAGAAAAACAGATTCATTTCTATTGACAGTTTTTGCAGCGGTATAAAAACATTTTCCTGCTGCCCTTTACTTGTCATCTGAGTTATTCTTGGGTTGTGTGCA